TTACTCTTTATCAACTTGTATTGAGTCAAATGTCTTTAATCTTTCCTATCAGCCTCTCTTGGCTAACTCTTGTTTCTTCCAACCTCGAATGGCGATTAGGTTTCCGAACGCAGAGGGGTCACTATATTTCCTTCTACTACAACTCTAAAACTCGCCAACACGCTAGGCCAGCGCGGCGTTTCAAGGCCAAATTTCCCCTCATGATGGATACATCAAGAGTACGGCCCTCAGTGCCCAGCGGTTCCAATTTCTCTGACCAAGGTGGCGGTCGGAACAGTTTTGGAGTAGAGATTGCTATGAATCACCGGAAGAGGTCAGGCCACCGAAACAAACGACAAATGCATGTGCCTACAATGTACAAACTTTATCAACAGAAACATCAATGATAGAACTAGAGAATGAACTCATCATCATCATCACAGTCATTAACATCTTAGTAGATGTGTTGTGGTTCATAATTGGGCTTCAGCAGCTCGGACAGTTTGATTGATAATATTTCTACACTGGTCGCGGTCATCAGTTATATGTATTGCCGAAGTATACTGTTTATTGAAAAGCTTTTTAGTAATGTCCGCCCATCGCTGTGGAGATCTTCCGCGTTGGCGTTGAGTCTGAGGCCTTCCTTGGACCACCAACCGCTCCATTTTGTGATCACTTCGATGGATATGGCCAAAGAACTTTAAATTCCTAGGCGTCTATACGTCGTCGATCTGATTCTTTGACTGTCCATGTCTCGCATGCATAGTAAAATATGGAAAAGACCAGAGTTGAAACGAGTCTCTTTTTGTTTGTCATAGTAATGTGACGATCACGCCAGACCCCGTTTAGTTCACTCATTGCTGCTCTTGCTAGTTGAATGCGGCTTCTAATTTCGGATTCACAACTGCCTGTGTTGTTAACTAGATCTCCAAGATATATCATAGATGAAACTACCTCGCATCCCGCATTAGTTTGGGTTTCAGGAAACTGTTGTTGGCGATCAATAACCATGATTTTGGTTTTGTTGTAGTTAACCATGAGTCCAAATTTAGCACTTTCTACCTCGAGTTTTTTTAATAATTTAATAATTTCTTCTGGAGTAGAGGCTAGAAGTGTAGTGTCGTCTGCGAAACGCAAGTTAGATATCTTAACACCACCTAGGTTTACTCCTCCCTCCCAACCATCCAAAATTTTGCGCATTATGAACTCCGAATAGATGTTAAATAATAAGGGAGATAAAACGCATCCTTGGCGTACTCCCTTCTCCAAAGTGCATTTGTCAGACAGATATCCGTCCATTCGAATATATGCCAGGTTATCTTAATACAGTTTACTAATAAGGTGAGTCAAGTGTTTAGGTACACTCATTGTCGTCAATATGTTCCATAGTTTGTCCCATCTAACATTATCAAAGGCCTTTGTATAATCGACGAAACATATAAATATCGGGATCTGGTATTCTCTGGCTTTTTCTATGATGTTTCGTACATTAAGGATTTGTTCTCTAGTACCTCTGCCCTTTACAAATCCAGCCTGCTCAGGTGCTATTTGCCAACTTATGAAGTTTTCTAGGCGCCGTTGCAGTATGTAGAGGATCACCTTACTGGCGTGTGATATTAGAGCTAATAGCCTGTAGTTGTTACAATTATTTGTTGAACCTTTCTTATGAAGAGGTATGATTATGGTCTTTCTCCAATCCTCAGGCCAGACGCCTGTGTGCCATATTTCATTGCACAATCGATGTAATATTTTCACTCCACATTCCGGAAGATGCTTCAAGACGTCTGCAGTAATGAGATCATATCCTGTTGCTTTGTTTAACTTAAGTCTTTTTAAAGCGAATTCCACCTCGGAAAAAAGTATGTCAGGTTCAGACTCAAAACTAGTGTGGTGTGTCTCTGTTGAAGGAGAATGGAAAGTGGAGGTCTGGCAGTCAGGTACAAACGGGGCGTCCGCTGGCATCTGGTCCGTATTGGCGTATAAAGACTTACAATACGCCCTCCAAACATCAATAACCTTGTCCAAATCCGTCTGTACATTACCTTCATCATCTTTGATAGACCAAGATTTCTGCTTGAATTTACGTGTGAGTTTATCAAAGAGTTCTTTGGTGTTATTTGTGTCGGCGTATAGTTGAATTTCTCTGCAGATTTTCTCTATATGCTTGTTTTTGTCTCGTCTACAAGCAGCCTGGATAGCTCTAGATAGCTGTCGGTACTGAGAATTCCTGAGAGGGTTCTCGATTCCAGCAATTTTAAGTTTTCTACGTTCTTCAACGAGGTCAAAAGTATCTGCAGACATCCACACTTTTTTTGGTCCGGTTGAGACGGCATTAGACTGTGCCTCGCAGTCAGTCAAGGTCTGTATCAAGGTATTTTTAAAAGATAACCAAATCTTTTCGGAATCATGAGTGACGATAGTTGGTAAAATATTTTCGAATCTTTCATTACATTGGATTTTAAATTGTTGTGTATCTTTTATTTAGATGAACTACAACAAGAGAATGAACTACAACACATAAAATGAGATATAATCGGTATAAGTGAAGGTAGGCGTCAAAAAGAAGATTACCTAATACTTAATTTGCTAGTGTTGACTTACGGTGCGGAAACGTTGACCATGACAAGAAGAACAGTTCAAAAGATTCGTGTGTGTCAAAGGGCGAAGGAGCGTGCTGTATTGGGCGTTTCACTACGAGACCAGATCCCAAATCGCCAGCTACGACAAAGAACAGGAGTGGCTGATGCAGTAGAGAGAGTAGCAACACTGAAATGGAGCTGGGCAGGTCACGTGGCTCGAATGACAGATAATAGATGGACAAAGCGGATACTGTAATGGACACCAAGAGATGATACCTACCGAGGCAGAGGTCGTCCACCAACACCTTGGACTGACGATCTAAAACATTGTCATCGAAATAGATGGAAAATTTTGAGGGAGATCTATGTCCAGCAGTGGATAAGCGCAGATTGCATGATGATACAGAGTATGCAATATTAATATTTATATTCGATATACTTATTTCTAGTATCTACAAACGATTGATTTTTAAATATAGCGGTTAAAAGGCTATTTCAATAAGCGCTTTTAACTATATTTGAAGTTATTCTCATAACAGATATTTTTAGGATAATACTAATAAATATGTGCTTAATATTAATAGTCGTCAATAAATTTCAATTATTTTGCACAGACACCTGAACAAAAACCACTTTATAAAATAAAGAAGTGTCTACTTTTCCAAACTTAAAAGACCAGCTGTGCTGTGCGCTGATAAGGTTGAATTGGCTTTAATTTTATCAGATTAATTAAGTCTGTAATTTCTTTTGTTGTGGTTTTTTTTGAGCGGAGGGTTAACTAACTGCAACTTTGCCTCGAAACTGGACAGATAAACACAAAAAACGACAAATGCAATGTAAAAGGACTATGAATATTGGAACTTGGAATGTCCAGAGTTGGTACAGACCTGGAGCTGCAATAAATGCTGTAGAGCTGAAAAACATAGGAATGGATATAACAGCAGTCCAAGAAATAAGATGACCAGACGATGGAAATATAAAAATAAATAAATCCACCATCTTCTTCAGGGGTAACAAAAATAAAAGACATGAATTTGGAACGGGCTTTGTGATTAGAGACAACCTGGTACAGAATATACTAAATTTTACTACTAAGTGCTACATACGAATGAAGGAGGAACGATACAACATTTCAATTATCTCAGCGCATGCACCAACGGAAGAAAAGGATAAAGATATCAAGGATGACTTCTACGATGCCCTACAAAGAAAGATAGATACGATGCCCAAACAAGATATGCGCATACTCTGCGGAGACTGTAATGCTACAATAGGCAAAGAGGCTCGCCTATATCCCACAATAGGTAAACACAGCCTACACAATATATCCAACGACAATGGCTCAGCAGCAAATCACAGAAAACCTACCACAGATTCCATCTGTCGATGTTAAAAGCTCCAAGTGAGCTAGTTATCTAGATACACTACATAAAAGGTGCTCCAAGGAATTGATGTATTTGTCAGACAGTTTGTTGTTTGCAGAGGTCAGCGGTTTAGTAGATGGAAAGGCAGATTTTTGTTATATCTAACATATACATTGCTGAAAAACAAATATAGAGTGTTTAGCATGTTTTGGGATCAGATGGTGGCCAAAAGCTCAAAGAGTATGACTTTAATATTTTTTAGTTATTGTATTAGAGCGGAAGGTATGTGGTGGGATTTATAAATTAAATTGTATAGAATACATCACCATGCAGGGTCTTTTGCGTCAAGTTTGGTCATGAGAGTGGTAGTTCTAGAGTTAAAGAAGGGAGAATTTTTTGTTGTTTTGTTTAAATGATGTGAATGAATATTTTATTTAACGAGGCGTTGGTAGAGTACCTAATTTTTCTAAAGCCAAATTTAAATTAGAATCCTATCGGGGACCTTGGAAAGGACGTTAAAAAAATCGGCCAGTGTAATCGGAAGTGATAGCAAATGAAGTAGATTGAATGGGGGTACACCTTTTGCAATAATAAACTATTAATGTCTTTGTTTTTCAAATTTACAAGTGTAAAATATGTGATATAGGTCACAGCAGGTTTCACAATTTTGGTGTTAACTATACCGATTTTATATTTGTCAGAATTTTAGCCTACAATCGTCACAATATCATGTCTTATAAGATCATCTTGGTGGCACAACTTTGTCGGACTATTTTAATGTAGTTCTAACAGTGTGTATTATAAATGGGGCTATCAGAACAATAGTTTTTCCAATGCAATTTTCATTTTCCCTTTAAGTTACTCTCAGATTTAATTAAATATTTTGCAGTTAATAAAATGTACTTTATATGCTGTCTAGTTGTAGTGCTTTCTTTGGCTAAGGAATCTGGAACTTCATTAGAATATTTTATAAATCAATAATTTTAAGTTTTCTAGATAATATTTTTTATATAGAAACATTTAATCAATGACTGTTATCACTGTTCTAAATAACAGTGGAAAATCTAGAATGATAGTGGTTACAATAATACAAAACAATACTTGAAGTCAAGTGGATCTTTTTTGAAGTGTTTGACTTCTAATATATAAAGCGAAACCTGCAGTGTACAATTATTATTGTAAAATATAATTCTCCAACATGAAAACCATATTGATTTTGGCACTTTTCAGCTGCATTGGTAAGTAGTGATATTTTTTGTTATTTAAAAATTTGTTCTAACTCTTTTTTTATTTATTTGCGCTGTAACTAAAAGAGTTATTAGCGATCTAAAAAATATAATACAGGTAAAGTTAGAAAAAATTGTAATAATTGATACATTTCTGAGTCTATAAGATAACTTATTTTGTTTTTAATGTTTATGTTTTTTCCTAAGGCTTCTTTTATATTATTTGGGATAGTGTGCTTCTTTCTTGCTGCTCCATATATGTTTTTCATGAGTTAGTATATGCGTCACAGAGAGTGTTACCTGACAATTTTCACACATTGGCAGCAGAGTTCGCGTAAAGAGGTGTTTATATATAAAGTTACTGTGTCCTAGTCGCAAACGTGTTATTTTCGCTTGGTTGTGTCTTTGCTGTGGGTTGGAGCCACGGTTTCACTAATTGTTTGATTTTCTTGAGTTTATTTTGTGATGCACTTCACTTATTTTGTCACGAACTTAACACTTTATATTTTACTTCTGACTTGAAATCATCTGACGAAACCTTATTAATAAGAATGGAGTCCTGGCTGAAGGATGCTAGGGGGACTAGTTCATCTGCTTCTTCATTTCCTTGTGTATCTGTATGTGTTGGAACAAACATGAAGTAACAGGGATCTTATAACTATTTAGAATATCTATTTCTGATTGGATATGTGAGGTAATTGGATTATTGGTATATAAATGTTTGATAGTGTGAATTGAGCTTAGCAAATCAGTTATTATGAGAGACGGGGACTGTTTATACTCTTTTATGTGAATAAATGCTTGTAATATTGCAAATGCTTGTAATATTGCAAAGAAATGTGATTAAATTTAAATTTTAAGGATGTATTGGGTGTAAGGATACCAACACCATCTGAAGATTTGGATGTGTCAGTGTATATCTTATAGTGATTTTTATAAGTTTCCATTTCTATTAAGAATGGTTGTTTGATCAGACTTGGTATAGTCTTAATTTTTTTATATACACTACGGTTATTATTAATTATTGGTATTAGTATTAACCAAGGAGAAGAAGTTAGGAAATTTGTTGGAAGAATTTCGCGGTAATTCATAATGTAGGTCTAACTATTTCGTAAAATGGTGGATCTAGTCTTGTTGTAGAGAAAGTGTCTTAAACTTGTAAATGTATTAGTATAAGTAGTGTGTTCATAACTTGCTATTTTAGAAGCATTTAGGAGAGAAAGGTATTTGCATCGTATGGTTCTCTTGTTAAGCATTGTAAACTTTTAACTGGTGTCGTTCTAAACGCACCTGTAGCTATTTATAGAGCTGTGTTTTGTACAGTTGCTAAGGTTTTCAATACTAATTATTCTAATTTTTCATACTTTCTGTTAGTATTATTTCTAATGTATGTGTTTTTTAAATAACTTATCATATTATACTTCATACTTTATACTATACAAAAGGACAATTATGGACAACATAAAGCACATAAAGTCTTGTTTTGTAAAAAAATACAATTAATTTTGTTTTAGCTCCTAAATGCTTAGCTAATGCTTAGCAAAAATATATAATATATAAACCAGAAGATATTAATTAAATATCATTGCTATTGATAGTGCATATTAAGAACCTAAGTAGAAATAACTTACAAAACGAAACATGAAATTTTTTAATGCTAAAGGTTTTAAATTAATTTCAAGTGACTTTACGTATGTATTCCAATTTTTGTTCTTTTTAATGTAGTTTCAAAACTTTTAACTCAGATTTTTTTTAGTTGTTAATAAAATGTTTCTTATTTTTGTTACGCTTCTTTACAAGCAAGTCTGCTTGTTTATTGGTAATTTAATACTTCCATGGAAGATTTTGCACTGTCGTCCGATACATCTTCTCTCGTTTGGTAATTTATTTCTTGCCATGATAACGACTTGGGTCTCCCCCATTCTTTTTATGTGGATATTCTATTCTTATTTTCTATGTCTGTTTCACCTTGTAGTATTATTAAAGTATCATGCTAGCCTATTTGCTCTCTTTTAGTACTTAAACATCTAATTCATCTGCTGAACTAATCTTCTAATGCGTTTGTTCTTGTAAAATTTTAGTTACATACGTTTCCTAATAGTACAAGGGTATTATTTATCAAGTTTATACCTCTATAGTTGTTTGTCTGTTTTTATTTCCTTTTTAAAATAGCAGCAATAGTTCGCTCGTTCTCCATTTTTCGGTATTTGATTGTGCTTTACAATTTTATTAAATAATGTTGTTAATTGTTCTGTCATTACTGCTCCACAATATTTCAGTAATTCATTTGGTATCCAACCTTTACCTGCTGTTCATCTTTTTTTCAGCTGCTCAAGTACTTTACAAGCTGTTCTATATTAAGTTCCTTATTTGTGTTAATTTTTGGTGTTTTTCGTTCTAACTTCGTTTGTTTTTCCTCTGCTTATTTAGGTAGTCAATCCATGTACCCCTGTGAAAAATTTTTGGAAATGATTATATTCAATTTTAAATTGTAACAAGTATTTATTTTCAGCTCTTACCATCTACGCTCAAGGTCCTGAGCCTACCAAAGGACCTGAACCTGAGCCTACTGGTGAGCCTGATGAGTAAGTAAAAACGAATAATCGAGTAAAGTTAAAATATAAGTATTAAGAGCTATTTAAAGTCATCTTAAAGTGTTTATATTTACCGTAAAATAGTTTCGAAACACAATTTTGATTTTCGCTTTTATCTGTTCTTTCTAAAAATTGCAAAGCAAAACAGACGTTGATAAAGGTGTTAAAAAAGACGTGGGGAATCTAAAATTTGCATTCCACGACACATCCTTTCAACTAAGCAGAAATCCTTAGCCAATTGGTTTCTAGTACTCGTACAGAGTAAATCCGAAAAAAAGTGAAAAAGACAGCAAATATTTGATTTCACGCAAATAGCGAATTGTGTTTCGAAACTATTTTACGGTTTTATTGTCAGATGTCGCTATTGCGTCCGTGATGAAGCCATTTTAGTGTTGCTTCTTAAAAGACAGAAAATATTGATCTTTCACGTTGAGAACACCTTTGAATAACTGTTGTGATGAGACCTATTAGGTCGAAATACGTATCAACAGATACAAAGGCACTGTTTGCGTAAAATCAAATATTTGCTGTCTTTTTCACTTGTTTATATTTAATTTGCCACAAAAAAAATTAGAAAAAGGTTTTGTTTTTTTTTCTATTCTCTATAGACGCTTATTAATTAGGCCTTCTATTTACGTTTTTATTAAATATCTTATTTGTTAATAATAAAAATATTTTGATATCTAATTAAATGATAAATCAGCAATAAAAATGTTTTTTATTATTTTTAAATTATATTATTTATTATCATTTCACATTTGCCTCTAATAAATGACTTTAAATTGTCTTTTTTTTAAATTTTTTTATAATGTCCAAGTAGTACTTTATAAGTTTATAACATTTTCAACATATACTGGATCTTCTACTCTGGAAGAGTTAAAATATTCTTAGTTTTAAAAACAGAAATATAATTTTACGTAAAGTAGAATAAACTACAAAAACAATTTATTTCTTTTTGATATATTATAATCTTGCTATAATAAACAGATTGATGAATAGTAAGAACAAGGCAAATAACTTAAGTGTTATTTATTTATTTTATATTAAAAATAAAACTACAAAACCTTATTTGTGACATTAAAATAGCCTTTATTAAGTATAATAAAAGAAATAAAATATAGTAAATAATAAATTTATTTGTTTTGGATAAAACAATTTTTTTTTTCAGACAAAGGTGCGACACTTGCGTAACATTGACAACTATAATCAGAGACTACATTGACGAAAAAGTTCCACTGGTAAGTTTGATAAGTATAACAATTTCGTTTAGAATATTTATATTGTTAAAGGCTTATCCTGATGAGGTATTCTATGCCCTACAGAACTGCAGTGGTGTAGCGAGTGGATCGCATGCAATTGCGCAAGTTACGAGCGTTTTGTGCACGGCATTGCTGCGGCAAGTATTTGCTCGATAGTTGAAGTAAAGGAAGGTTTTTAGTTGTGCAAAAAAATGGATCAAAAAACGTTTAATACAAAACTATTTATTGATAAGATGAAGAATCGACAGAGTAGTCAACCTGAAATTTAGTTAACTAGTTTTTTCTGCAGCTGTCCAAAAAAAAAGCTTTCTGTATGATTTATTAAATCGAAAGTACCAATTAACACAACTCGAACCGAAACTAGCTACTTTTGGGACTAATTTTTTCATATTCTGGACGACTTTGGGTAGCTTGGTAACGGTTTTAACAATAACAACAGCTTTATATTTTATTATGACAAAGGTGCTCATTCGTGTCGTCAAGATTCGTGTGTTTTCGCGTTAATAATATTCATAAGTAGATTTTTCTAATGTTGAATTCACGAGAGTAAACGCGACTAGAACCTTGAGGAAAATGCCTCATCTCTTTAAGCCCAAAGTATTAAATTTATTAGAGGTTTATGAATAACACTCTACCTTAATATTAATATTCTACTGAAACCTATTTTTTTTAAGACGCTAATACTTTTACTTCTTCTATTGTTAAATATAATTTTAAAGAAGATTTTTCTGTTTTGGTCATACTGTCAAGTACGATTTTTTGATCAGAAATTTGTTACTAATATAATCAATGCTAAGTATAATTTATTCTAAAGTATACTTTTTTTACAGGATGAGGTTAAAAAGGATCTTGATAGAATATGCCACGATTTGCCAGATCAGTTGAAAGAAGTTTGCGAAAAGGAATTGCTTCCAAATCTTGACAGAGCCTATGAAGAGCTCCAAAAACATACACCTTATGAGTTGTGTCAACATTATAAATATTGTTAAAAAGTATTAAGATTTTAATATGTAAATTTATATATAAAAGTACAAAATAAATTTTTAAATTCTCAAACTATGATTTATTGTAATCAAGTAACCAAAAATTTTCCTCAGTATATTTTTTCTTCTCTTAATATAAAAGATAAAAATAAAAAACTGTAATTCCAGCAATGTTAGAAAGTACTGTGTAATAGGCATTTTCTTGGAATGTGTACAAATGTTTTGGATCAATATTAAACTTCTCGTTTCTCTCTCTTCTCTCTCTCTCTATCTCTCTTTTCTGTCTTTGATCTGTCTTCTTCTTAACGTGCCCTATCAAGTCCCCTTGACGTTAGCCATTAACATGGTGAAACTGTCTCTCTCTCGAGCTATTCTAAAGAGTTGCTCAGCTTTTCATAATCCTGTCCACTCCCTGATATTCTTCAACCAAGATGCCTGATTTCTACCAGTTCCTTTGCGTCCTTCGATTTTACCCATCATAATAAGTTAAAGAATATTATATCTGTCTCCTCTTACTACGTGTCCAAAATAGGCCATATTTCTACATTTTTGAAGTTATCAAGCAGCTCGCGAGCAGCATTTGCTCTCTCAAGGACTGCCACATTTGTCAGCATAGCCGTCCATGGAATTTTTAGTATACGTCTGTGCAGCCACATTTCAAAGGCCTCCAGACGATTAATGGTGGATATTTTTAATGTCCATGCTTCGACACTGTATAAGAGGACTAACCAAATGTACCATTTAACCATGCGCTTTCGAAGTTGAAGTTGCAAGTTGTCATTACAGAATAATGACCTCATTTTTAAAAATGATGTGCGGGCTATCTCGATTCTACATTTTAGCTCCTGATCTGGATCTAGTTGTTCAGTAATATGGCAACCAAGATAATTAAAACTTGACACTCTTTGAATTATATGACCATCAACATATAATCGTGCATCTTGATGTCCTAAACGGCTAAACACTATGTGTTTTGTTTTTGAACAGTTTATGTTTAGGCCAAACTCTCTTCCCACTGTATCAATGGCATTTAAAAGGCATTGTAGTCCATTCGTATCATCACTTAAAATAACTGTATCGTCTGCATATCTGATTGTATTTATCAGAATTCCATTAACTTTCACGTCCCATGCTAAATTATGCAGCGCTTCTTTAAATATTGTATCTGAATATAAATTAAATAACAGTGGGGATAGTATACAACCCTGTCTGACACCTCTTTGAATTTTACATATTTCTGTTGATTTTCCGTTTATGCAAGCTATCGCTGTGTGACGCCAGTATAAGTTTTCTATGAATCGTATGTCTTGACTATCAACTCCTTTGTCTTTGTCTTTGTCATCTTTTAATATTGTAATTAATTTGTGATGCTGTACTCGATCAAAGGCCTTTTCATAGTCAATAAATATAGCAAAGAGGGCGTCCCGAGTTACCAGTCCATTTCTGAAGCCAAATTGTGTTTCATCTTGGTCTTCTTCACATTTACCTCTGATTCTACTGTGGATGATACGTAGAAATATTTTAAAAGTGTGGCTCACAAGGCTTATCATTCTATAATCGCTACAGTTTTTCGAACGTTGTTTTTTTGGTAGTGTTATGAATTCGGACTTTAACCAATCTTCAGGGATATCACCAGTCGAATAAACATCATTGAAAAGCTTGACCAGTATTCCAATGTTCTCCTCATTTATAAGCTTTAACATCTCTGTCGGTATGTTATCAGGGCCAACGGCTTTCTTGTTATTTGCTAACTTTATAGCATGTAGTATTTCTGATTTTAGTATTTCTGGTCCTTCACCTTCAACTAAAGTCTTCGGTTCTTCGGGTCTATCATCATTATACAGTTCACTTATATAATTACACCAGGTTGTTCGAATTTCATGTTCGTCTATTATCATTTTTCCTGACGAATCGGTTATAGTATGTGGAGTTTTCTTATGATAAAGACCAGCTACTTCTTTAACTTTTTAAACATATTATGTTTTTCATTCAACTTCTCTACTTCCTTGCATTTATCCTACATCCATTTTTCTTTAGCCACCTTTATTTTTTGTTTAATTAGTTTTCTGTTTTTACCTTATATTCTGTCTTGTTACCTTTCAGTTTCCTTCTCCGCTCCATTAGTTCCAGGATTTCATCAGTCATCCATTGCTGTTTTTTGTGCCTGTGTAACGTTGTTGAATATTTTTCTATTACTTTCAAGGTAAGATCTTTAAATATGTTCCATATTCCTGTGTTGTTTTCATTTATTAGTTTCTTTAGCTCATTGTTTAAGTCATTTTCTATTAACGTTTTGTTGGATATTGAGATATTTAATTTTGGTGTTTTGGGGCTTTGATCTGTCACTCATGTTAATTAAAGTAACATGAAGGTAAGGTTATATTTTAAACCGTAAGTTTAAGTGTATTTTAAAGCAATGGCTAATCGTGAAGCTTTTTATATATTGCAGTATCAAAAGGTGCCAAAAAGAAAATTGTTCAGACAGACCATTAGAAAGAAAACGTGACAAAATTTAAGAGAAACAGTATACAGGTTTATGTGTCAAAATTTATGAGAAAAACTGTACAGAGTAAGGTATTTTCTGTATAATTTCGCAAAGTTAAAAGCGTTTAAAACAAGATACTCGTCTAGCAGGTTGTATGGCGTTAGAAGAGCCTTTAAAAGGGTAAAGGAAAACAGAAAATCCCGAAATTAGTTTCCTTTTTTGTTGTCTTATATCAAGTACGAGTAAGGTGTGTAAAAATATTATAGAAAACAATTGTTGATAAAACTCCACGTGATGAAAAACGTTGAAAACACGAAAACCAAAGAAAAATTTCAGATGTTTATTCCATGGCATTAGAACATTAAAAACAACAGATTGTACTTCGACAACCCAGACCTAACCATTAAGAACATTTTTGAGCAGCTTCAAATGTTGTCCAAAGACACTACTGATAATAATCTTAACATAAAATAAAAGACCTATTTCAAGATTTTTAGAGAAACTAATTTTACGTTCAAAAACCGAAGACATAATGTGGTTATTACCATGACTCTGAAACTAAACTAGAAAAGAACCGAAATAATGAATGCCCTATTGAATACGATCTTCATAAAAAAAAACTTAAGGCATATTCCAAGCTAAAAAATAATTGCTTAAGAAAGGCAACAGATGGTAGTGGCGTTCTTGTCCTGGAATTTGATTACGCACAAAATCTACCAGCGCCAAAGTTTACCATAAACTCTAAAATAGCTCTATAAGACGTTTATGAATATACGTATTTAATATGCACGTGTATAATTATGGATTACCTTTGTTAATCTAATCCAAAATTAGACTTTGTTACGGTTTTGTTCTTGGATATCAAAACTATAGACAGTCGAAGTGACACATATGTATCCTGTTCGTGGGCCTGACCTCAAAAAGTCTATCTAGAGACAATAGTATAGTCCTAGACAAACTCCTTCTCTTCTCCTTCGCAGAGAGAAGGATTATGCAACACTTCTTCCTTATTTTTTTGAAGAATCTAGTGATAAAAATATAACAGTATCGTGTTCTCAAGTATAAACTTCAAGGGACACCAGCTGCTTTTAAAACCTACTCTAAAATGTATACCCATTTTAAAAATGCAAAAACGTTGCCACATGATCTTACTCTTACATCTTTACAATTACGAAAACGCAAATTCTTCCATACAACGAAATATTGGTGAGATTGTTACGCCTCCTGCAGAGTCAGTAATTTTATCAGAAAATCTGTTTGCAAAACCCAAACCCTCTAAAAAAAAAACTGCGCTCATCTAAAGTCCCATCTATACGGGAAACTCTTGAAAATTTATTAATTGATGAATTCGACCGTTACTTGATGGAAACTCATTTTATGTAACAATAAAACACTAAAAACTTTATTTTCAAACTTCCACAAAATATATTTTAACTGTTATCACTACAGCTGTTTCGGCTGATTGCCTTTCTCAAGTAATCTATTTTTGGCATGCCTTTACACTTTATAGTCTTTAATAAAATAGGTCGAGGAGGGGAGAACTATTTGTCTCAAGTTGGTCATTCAGAATTATATCTGCGTTTTTTAATTTGTTGATTTTCATAGATTCTAACAAAGATAGCTTAAGGCCTTTATTTTAAATGTGAAGAATTTTAAATTTGTCATTAAAAGAATGATTATGATTTGGAAGGTGAAGTGGGTATGTTGAATCTGTTTTTCTATTATTGAAAGGCCTTTTATGTTCTGCTATTCGTTTATTAAAGTTCCTACCAGTTTGACCAATGTAAGTTTTTGGGCAGTCGCTACAGTGAAGTTTGTACACGCTACTATTTAAGTGTTTTTTATTTTGGCTCTTCCTAGGTTGTTATTTGTTCGGAAAGCTGGTGTTATTCCATTCTTTTTTATGTGTTTGGCTATTTTTGTTGTTATTTTGCCCGTATATGTAATCGAGCAGAAGGTACTAGATTTTTTCCCTGGTGGAGGAAATACTAACTTCAGGGCTTTCTTGTGTAGTTTTTGATTTAACATTTTAATAATTGTTTGTTCGTTGTATCCGTTGTTTACAGCTATTTGCTTAATTATGTTTAATTATGTTTCAAAGTTGTATTTTGACATCGGAATTTCTGTTAATCTATGTAACATACTATGATAACACACAATTCATCATCCCATCCAACACAACATAAACTGGCAGCTTATCATAGTATGTTACATAGATTAACAGAAATTCAGATGTCAAAATACAACTTTGAGACAGAATTAAATATAATTAAGCAAAGAGCAGTAAACAACGAATACAACGAACAAACAATTATAAAATGTTAAATCAAAAACTACACAAGAAAGCCCTGAAAATAGTATTTCCACCACCAGAGAAAAAACCCAGTACCTTCTGCTCGATTACATATACAGGCAAAATAACAACAAAAATTGCTAAACACATAAAAAAGAAAGGAATAACACCAGCTTTCCGAACAAATAACAACCTAGGCAAATATATTAAAAATAACAAGAGCCAAAATAAAAAACACTTAAATAGTGGCGTGTACAAACTTCAATGTAACGACTGCCAAAAAACTTACATCGGTCAAACTGGTAGGAATTTTAATAAATGAATAGCAGAACATAAGAGGGCTTTTAATAATAAAAAAACA